CATGAGGGCATCCCTACTAAATAACTAGCTCTTGGGATTAAGTTCAACCAGGGATAAGTAGGGTGCGTATCCCTAGCTTGCATGTGGTGGGTGCTACCAAGTAAGGGAGGGAGGTGTAAACACCCCATTTTTGACCGACCTTAAGACTTAGACGTCACCAGTTGAGCGCTCGGTGATGTTGCATGTTGTGCTCGTTCTGAGGTTTCAGAGTCTCGGCAGCGAGCCTTGCCTCCGGACTTCGGGGCTCTTTTTGTGCAGTGCCTCGGTTTGCGAACCGGGTCCTGTTTTCTCAGTTTTCTCTTCTCGAAGGGACGGAGAGGTCTCATAGACCATCTCTCAGTGATCGTAGGCTATGTTTCGTGGTCGTAGGCCATTTTTCTCGTTTGGAGCCCGGTTTCCGGTTTTCAGAGCCGTCGGCCGTGTGCCTCAGTTCGGGACCGCTTAGCTACCTCCGTTTACTCTGATTTTTGGCACAAACATCTTATTTCCTCCATTTAGAGGAATACTGTGGCCCTGGAGACCACCTTCGTGGTCATACGCCACTTCCGGTGCCTAACAGCCTGTTTTCGGGGCCCCGAACCGCGCGTTTTGGCCCCCGAACCTTCGTTTTGCATCCGTTTTGGTCCATTTTTGGTAGAGATCCTTTTTTCATTGTTAGGGAGGTGGTAAGATGGTGGCCGGCCACCTCTTCCCCTGAAAAGTCAGTTTTCTCATTTTCTCTCTCCAATAGCCGGTTTTCTGACAGAAAACTGGTTTTTCTCACTTTTGAGCCACATTTTCTGGCTTTTCATACCACCATTGTGTTGTGCTCATCTGGGAGGCCACCAATATGGGTAGGCCGGCCAGAAATTCATCTTGACCCTTTTGAACCTTGCTTAAAAGCTAGTTTTTCTCTCTCCTGGGTCACATTTTCTGGTTTTTCTCTACATAGCTCTGTTCTACTCATCTGGGAGGCCACCTTTCTGGGTAGGCCGACCAGTAATTTTGCTTGAACCTTTTGACCCCTGGTCGGCCGACCAAGGGGAGTGGTCGGCCGGCCACTTGAACTGGCCGGCTTGCTTCTTGCTTTTTGCCCTCTCTGAATGCTTTACAACTGTGCCAGCTGGGGGGCATTTGGTGCATCCTCCATACACGTGTATGTAAGATCTTTGAAGCTTCCAAGAGAAGCTTTGGCCTCTCTTCTCTATAAGAGAGGCCCTCCTCTTCATATCAGAGGGTTGAACATTTTTTCTTAAAGCTTATAACCTCTCTCCTCCATTGTCACTATTCTAAGCTCCAAAACCCTAATTTTCTTGGTCCATTTGCACTACAACCCTTAGCACCACACCTCCATCATCCATTCTAGCACCTTGGAAGTCATTTTCAGAGGTTGAAAGCTCACCAACTTGGTCCAAAAGCTGCTGGAGGTCAGCTCTTCAATGGTAAGTGTCTATTTTCCTTAAACTTGCATTTTTTTGCTTCATTACTTAGCTTCACTTGAAAGTATTTCTGGGCTTTGTCATAAACTAGAAAGTATCATATTTTGAGCTCCTCTTCAACTTTGTTTAAGGGAACTTTGCTGTTTGAGGTCGTCTACTTCCCCTTACCCTCTATCTCTCTTTTAGGGCTATTTTTGCATCATACTTTAGCCTTACTTGTGAACATTTTAGAGATTTGTTATAAACTGTAAAAAGCCTTGTTTTGACCTCCTCTTTAAGTTTTCTTAAGGTCACTTTTCTGTTTGGAGTCATCTCCTTCCTTGCATGCTTCATTCCTTCATATTTAGGGCTATGCATTAGAGCATTTGCATTGGACTTGTTTTGGCCTCTTAGCCACTGAAATCCAGGGGATTTTCAGTGGCTTTAATGAGGTTTTGAGCTTTGAAATCATAGAGGGGTGACCCTCTCACCCCTCATTTTCTTTACTAGCATCATTGGCTTCCCAAAGGGGGCCTATTTTGCATGCATTGAAGTCACTTTTTGGGTCCAATTCTGTGGGTTTTAAGGTCTGCCTTAGGTCTGTCCGGGGCCCTTTTGATCATATTTTATGTCTATAGTGCATGTGTAGAACAATTCCATTCAAGGCCTTTTGAGGGGGCCTTTCATCGTATGCTTCCTTGACTGATTTCAGAGCCAATTTTATGAGTTTTAGGGCTTTCATAACTTATTTCCAGAGTTGGTTTGGTCATGCTAAGTGTCTATCTTGTATGTGCTTAACAACCCCTTGAATGGCCTTCCAAAGAAGCCCCTCATTTTTGCATGCTTTGGCTGCATTTCAGTGATTATTTGGGCATATTTTGGCATGTTTTATTCATTATTTTTGGCTGATTTGATGAGTTCTCATTTTCTTCATATACATGCCATGTAAACCATGCTGGCTAGCCAATGTTGCATACTATTTTAGTCCATCATGTTAGCATCTTTTGACCATGCTCTAAACTAGAAATGTGTATGTTTTGGGACTGCCTTGGCTCTATCTTTAGACTTCATGATCAAATAATGCTTTCTTTGTATACTTGTGGTTCAATGCATTGGACTAGTTTTGAGTTTCGGGGCTTATTCCATGCATCGGGTGCCATATTTCCATGTTTCGGGACCATTTAGCATTATGTTTCAGTGCTGAAAATTACATGCTTGAATGCCATGCTTCATCCTTGCCATGCTTTGGTAGAGTGGTATTTTATGCCTTAGGTTCGGTCCTCGGTTTGCGTGCATGTGTGCACGCATTTCGGTTGTCTGATTTTCATCCCATGGCTGCTGATGTGAGTGTGACTGAGGTCCACTCATGATTGGTGTAAGTCCATTATGCATTGCGTATGCCTTTTTAATTCATAGCATTGCGTATGCTAGGTTGCGTGTTAGTGCATTGTGTATGCCATGTTACATCGAGCATTGTGTATGCCATCTCATAGCATTGTGTATGCTAGGTTGTATGTTAGTCGCATGGTATATGCCATTTCATTTGCATTGTGTTTGGGATAGGAGTTAGCCCAAGCACGGGAAACGAGGGACGTTTCGTACTCCGAGTGACGGAACGTGTCACAATTCCCCGTCGCCGACACTCCGGATTACCTATGATGGAGTTTAGGCCTTGTTGTGTTTTCACATGCATTTATCTCATATTGAGTCGTGCAATTCGACTCCTCGGCCATCATGCATCGATATGCGTGATTGGTGGCACGAGGATCGAGGACTACACTCCCTGAAGAGTAGTCACGCATACATATGTGAAATACTTTGCCATGCCCCTTTCTTGCTCTCTGTTGCAGCAAATCAGAAATCCGCAACTTTCTAAAGCTTTGCATAGCATTCCGGCATTAATTGCAAACAGAGGCAAATCGGGGCATCGCAATGGATTTTCGCGCCAGGCAACTCAAGCATGCATCTCCCATCATTCGGAACAGAGCTGAGGCAGTCCATAGGCTTGCATGCTGATTTATCGCTTTTCTTAGATTAATTTGTTAATTAATTAGGGTTTTGTAATATTATTCATTTCGGACTGTACTATTTATTCGGACTGTATTATTCTTTCGGACCCTCCGAGTGAGGGCATAATTGTAATAAGTGTGCGTGAGTGTGATGTATGTCTTCCAACCCAGCTTCTTTCTCCCTTTATTTACAGCTTATGATGGTTAGATTAGGGCATGTTTCAATTAGCATAGGTATGATAGCATGTTTGCATTCATTCATCTGTCTTGCATGCACCGGGCTGGCGCATATACTAACTGCATTTGTATTCCAATTCCAAGTTGAATACTTGTTAGTTGCAGCATTTCATAGCATCTTAGAATAGCCGGCCCTATTTAGTTGCATTTTGCATGTGTTGATTAGGCATTTCTGTATAGTTAGGATCATGCATGATTTCTAACACAGCTTCTGTTTTGGCTTGGAGACTCGGTAAGTTTTATGCTTTAGCATCCTTGCATGCGTGTGAGTGACTGCCATGATAGCATGCTTACCATGAGGCTAATTGCTTAGTGACATAACTGCCTGAGTGCTGTGGGTGAAGGTTGGGTTATTTGGATTGGAACAATTCATCAATTGTGAGTTTTAAGCCCACTTGAGTGGCAAGACCATGTTTTCTAAGCCCACCTGAGGGTGGCAAAATCTGCATTTAAGCCTACTTGGAGTAGCAAACCATTTTCAAAACAAACATGGAATGTGTTGTTCCAATTCAGGCGATCCGGTCTATATTTGTATGTTGTGCGCATCACATAGTAAATCTAGGCTAATAACCGAATAGAAACGCATAATGTTTTCAAAACCCGATATCATGGTTAGTAGAGGCCGATCTTTGATCGGGCGAGCGGGGGTGCTCACGAAGTGACCTTCCCCATCGTAACCCAAGTTCCTGAGCCGAGGCAACTTTGGTGATGACGGACACGTGGCCTTAGGCAACGAGTCAGGGTTTCCTAAATTTCCCAAAATAAAATATTTAGGTGGCGACTCTGTATCTGGCACAGCAGTCCATGTCTAGCACTTCTTTCAAAAAATCTATTTTTAAAAACGATTTGCCGGATTTGGACTCTTTGATGATTTCATCGGTCTTGCATTGCACTCTGCGAGATTAGATACAGGACCGTGACATTGAGTCCTGAACTGTAGTGAGCCCAATGAACAACACCGGGGGGGGGGGATTCCCTCCCGGGACGTTCGGGGACGTCTACAGGAGGGTGTGATGCGAAGTCTCACATTGCTTAGTAATGCAAGAGATCCCAAGATTGGTACCTCATTTTTCATCACTCACTGCACACTAAGTGTAGGGCTTCTAACATAAAGTGCAGTATATAAACGTGAGGGCACCCTCACCTTAACAACTAACTTTTGGGGTTGAGTTCTATGTTGTTAATATGTTCATAACAGTTTTTCTTTGGGGCTTGTTGGCTCATACTGCACTTTTACAGTACCTTAGCATCTTTTTTAACGGTGTCATTGAAGTCTATCTATTGAAAAACTAGGTTATGAGTTATCAACTGACTTAGATTTTTCAGATGAATTTTAGTGGGTTACACCTGCTAACAGCTTGAAAACTTCATTGCACTTAGATATTTATCCTCAATTCCCTTGCAGGCTCTTCGTTTCTTTGTATGCTCTGTGGTAGCTGCTCCAAGTATATGCCTCTCCTAGTTGTGGACCAACACACGGTGTTGAGTGACCTACCAGTTACCCTTTCATCTCTTTTATCAGATAGTAATTGGGGGTTGGTTGCAGAGTCTATGGCTTCGTATTTGTGGGCATCCACAAAGAGAATTTATGATTCGGCCATGCGTATAGCACGCAGTGATGATTCATCTATCCTGTATCTTATTGACAAGAGTGAGAATGTTTCTGCTTTTTTTCTATTGTAGGTGATGCATCATATTTGTGTTTGTTTGAAAGATTATTTGCCTCCAAAGAAACAGTTCAAGATTGCCAACTTGGTGGTCCCTTGAATTATGGGACATATGTTGAAATGCTTGCAACAAAGCTTGAACGCATGATGTTTGTATTAGTTACAGCTTATAACATTTTGTTTTTTGTATAGTAGTTTCAGAGGAATTTCATTCTCTATGTGATGTAGCTTTGCTAGCAACTAAAATTGTTTCTAATAGGAAAATTAATCCAATATCTCATCTTGATGTAGATTAACGGTTTAATAAAACTTGAAATTTAGGTTAAAATAACATTCTATGACAGAATGAGATTAGATTTCAATGTTATGTTTGGATGGTAAACTTGAGAAGTGAAATGAGAATCTCATTGTTATAGGTTGCATTAAGATGTGATTTTTTTTCATTTTATTCTCAAGGTGTAACCTCTTGTGGTAATTTCACGTTCTTAGAAGAATTTAAAATATTTTCTGTTAAAAAAAAGAAGAAAGAAGAATCTAAAATATTTGAGTGAAAATATTTAAAAATTTGGTGTATGGTTCGTTTCTCATATTCTTAAATTAATTGTTGTCTTAATGCATATTACTAAATCATAATAATAATATTAAGACAACAAATATTAACACAATTCATATTCTATGTCACATAAGCATATATACTCTTGTACCTCATCAAACCACCTATAAAAATCAAGCTTATATATAAATGGTGGTAATAACATCATACTAAAATAATTTTTAGAGGTTACAGTTAGATCTATAAATAGCAATATGCTTAGTACTATAAAAATCACAATAAAATTTTAATATGTTTTCTCATACTAAAATTTGATAACATAATTTAGCAAAACATAAATAATAATGATTCATTATGCAATACTAAATATTTTTAGGCATTATTTAAAATTTACAAACACTAAATCAAACAATACGGTGATCATCACCCATTAATAGGGATGGCAATTTGAGACCAACCAGACGGGGACCCGCCCCCCCGATCCCGATTTAAGCACTTTTTTCCCGAAAAATACACCCTACGAGGTGGGGATGGTATTCGAAAATGAATCCCTGATCAGTTTCGGGCCGGGGACGGTGATAAGTGTACAAGCCCTGGCCTCGAACCCATCCCCGGCCTCGTTTGTCCCCGAAATAAAATTACTATTTTACCCCTCTCTATATATATGTATGTGTCTTGACTCATTTTAGGGTTAACACTCACATAAAAAAAACACATTGCCTCTCTATCTCTCTCTCTCTTACTCTCTCTCTCTTCTCTCCGCAGCAAGTGATGCAATCACCGTCGTCGCCTCCTCCTTCGCGCCACCTCTACTCTCTCCCACTCTCTCTCTTCTCTCCGCAGTGACGCTATCGTCAGTGTCGTCTCGTTCTTTGACCAGTAGTGGCAGTGATGAAGACGAATCTGAGTTGGACTGGCTGGATTTGAGTTGGACTTGCTCGGATCTGAACTTGAATCCATATATAATGCTCTACTAAAGGCTAACATGGTAAGATAGCTCTACTTTAAGTATTTCTTCTCAACCCATATAGATTTTTATCTTACTGATGGGAGATCTTCGTTTTCTTCACGATCTCAGAGTAGCCATTGCTATTTTTTAGAAGAAGAAGAAGACTCACAGAGGACCTCTAACCATCATCACCGATGTTCCTCTCTTCTTCTCTCTTCAGATCTGCAAACGTTTCCTCTATGTTTTTGTCAATGATGATGATGAAACTGTTGGCTTATTTTTCCTACAAAGGAAAATATCATAAATGTGAACATGCTAGCAAGGATTGAAAAATCCTTACAGATTAAATTCAAGCCAATTATCAAGTGATTGTGTTAACGGTTCTTTTGCCTCAATGAAGAGGACTTCAAAATTGCTAAGTGTAGAGGGAAAAAAAATTAACAAAAGACGGTGGAAGACAGAGAAAGATGATTGAATAAATAGTCGGGGTGATTGAGTAATCAAAGTAACAATTACTTACCTCTACTCCTATGCTCTGAAAAGGAAGTGCATAAAATGCTTCAAAAAGTAAGTGCGTAAAATAAAATATAGGAAATATAAATGACAAGAAAAATAGAAATTAGTTGTCTTTAATTTGAGTTTTGGATCCCGTTACAATATAGCCATTGATGGCTATTTATAGAGAAAAAAATACAGCAATAACTACGTAGTAACTATCCATTTATCCCATATTCATCATTCAATTGCCAATCACCAATTATTATTTAAAGAAAAAAATTATATTTATTTTTGATATTTTTTAAATATATAATTTTATTTTTTTAGACCAAAATGACAAATTATTTTTTTGAATTATTTTTTTGAATTGAATGTTAAAAAGAATTTGATTATGAGTTTTGAATAGAATTTTCAATAGATTTTTAAATTGTGTATTTGGTTATGAGTTATAATTTTTAAAATTAATTCTGAAAACTATTTTTAAAACTCATAATTAAACAAATTTTCTCAATTCATATGTCATATCAAAAATTCAAAACTCAATTCAAAAATCTTTTTAAAACTCATCAAACAAATTTTTTTTTTCAAATCATAATTTTAAAAATTACAAATTCAAAATATAATTTTATTCTCAAACCATAATTTTAAAATTCTATCAAACGCAACCAAAATAATATCGAAGCAGAAGGTCTGAGAACCATGAAATTGTTACTGATGTGGTGAGAAATTGAGAACACTTGCTTGGTTAGGTTTTTCAAAAAAATATTTTTTAAAAAATTTTACTTTTATATCATCCAAAATTTTTCGTTTTTATTGATTTTTTTTAATATTTTAAACAATTTTTTTTACTTTTTAGACTAGGGTGAGCAGCGGATATGCCGATCTGCTAAAACCGACCGAATCGGACCGATCTGCCGCATTTTGGACGTATGCGTGATGACGAGCAGACGGTTGCAGATTGATTTTCTCAAATCCGCCAATTTGGCGGACGAATGGCGGATTTGAGATTTTTTGGCCGCAACCGAACCGCCAAACCGCCAAATCGCGAGCACCCTTAGTAATTTATAAGACTTCGCATTTTCAATTTATTTAAATATTATGTTTGTATTTTCAATTGAAAAAGAGTTTAAATATTCTGTTGAAAAAAACTTTTCAACTTGTTTGTGTTTTCAATTAAAAAAGAGTTTAAATATTCTGTTGAAAAAAACTTTTCAACTTGAATATATTTTTTGAATTGAAAAAAATAAACGTATTATTCATATATATTTTTTAGTTTTTAAATGTAACTCTAAAAATAATAAATAGAAAATATGATATATGCTGGTTGGTTTTTGTTTTCAAAAACATATGTAGATGTAACAATACAGAGACATTCAATCTCTACTACTGCTCTGTTCATGGTTTTGGTGATTTGAATTGTTATTATATTTTAAGAATCACAGATTGTAATACTTTATGGGGATGAATCATACTGTGATTGTAATATGTGGATGAGGCATGCAGTGATCATGATATTCTAAAGTTTCAAACTTTTTTTCTTTGGGATAAGTACTGTGATTGTAATATGTGGATGAGCCATGCAGTGATTGTGATATTCTAAAGTTTCAAACTTTCTTTTTTTGGATGAGACATACAGTAATTGTAATAGTTTTTTAAGTCATTGACTGTAATACTTTCTCTTTTTTTTGAGGAAATGCACAAGTTGAATTATGTTAAAAATTTATAAAATCTTAAACCGCCAAACCGATTCGCATCCATCCGTCAAACCGCCAAACCGCTCAATCCACATCCGCCGGATTGGCAGACGGATGCGGATTGATTTTCTCCAATCCACCAATTTGGCGGACGGATGGCGGATTGGAGGTTCCGTGGCCGCAACCGACCCACGCCCACCCCTAACACCAATGGTCTTTATTGTTTAGGATTTGTGTCATTTTGATTATTGACTTTTTAATTATAACATATTTGACCTTGAGTTTTAAATCTTGTTCCAAACAAGGACAATTGAAGATACTATTAGATTTTTCAAGAACAAAACCGTCAATTTGATAAAATATAAATTAATTTGATAAAAATAAATGTCAAAAAAATGAAAGTATAGTATTAGTAGAATATATTACACAAAAGAATTATTAGCTCGTTAAATGCTGTGAGTCACTGTTGGATTAAACTCTTATATTATGAAATTATAGTTTATTAATCTAAATAAAAAAGAAAATTTACTCAATAAATGTCATGCGTCACTGTTTGATTGAAATACTCTAATCTTATAAAAATGTGAAATACACACGTAAACTTAAAGAACTTAGATAATGTTTTACATAATTATTTCATGGGTAAATTATGCAAATGATCCCTGTATTTTACACGATGTGTCAATTTAGTTCTTATTGTTTTAATTTGTTTGATTTTATCCCTTAATTTAACGGATTTTGTCCCTTAATATGGTAGTAATATAGTAATTTAAGTAGTAATATAGTAATTTTGTAACATAAGTAGTAATATAGTAATTTTGGAAATGCCAAACTGGCATTAGCTCGTCAATCCTTCCCTTTATAAAATTCCTTCCTTTTATAATAACTGGTGATTTTGAAAATACCAAACTGGAATAATAACCCTTGCCTTTTTTTTTTTTTTGGAACAACAATTTCTTTAAATATTTGGAAGGTTCCTAATTTTTATCATGAATTTTAAAAATTTGAAAGTAATTATATATGGTATGAGTAAAATAGTAATATAGTAAGAAACAAATTTTAATTTGGAAAGATATGAAATTTTTTTTTATCTTTCCTTTTGAAAATTATAAATTATGGAATTATTAATATTTTAAAAACTATTCAGTGTGTTTGGTTTCAATTTTTTAAATTCAATTTTTTAAAAACTGAGTTTTTTATTCTTCGTGTTTTATTGTTTTTAGTGAATATTTTTTAAATTTTAAGTAATTTTTTAGATGCACTTTACTTAAATTTATCTAAATAGTAAAATATTTGTGAAAAAATATTTTCTAAATAGTAAAATATTTGCGAAAAAATATTTTAAAAAATTAATAATATACAAAAATACGAAAACGTACTAAATTTTGTTGTTTTTTTTTTTGTATCTTTTGGTATTTAGTATATTTTTTAAAGATTTTTTTTTTCATAAATATTATACTTTTTAAGTGTGTTTATGTTAGGTGTGTCTAAAAATTAAAAAAAAAAATTGCTTAAAATATTTAAAAAATTCATTGAAAACATTAAAATACGAAAAATAAAAAAGTAGAATTTTCTGAAAACTATTTTTTGAAAATTGGAACCAAACAAGCTGTTACTTTAATGGATTAGCCAAATTAAATTTTAAATTTTAATTTTAAAGGGAATAATATAGTAGGAAATAAATTTTAAAATATAGTAATATAGTAGTAATATAGTAGGAAATAATATAGTAATATAGTAATCATCTAAATTGAAATTAAAATACATTTTTAATATCATTAAAAATTATTAATTGAATTTATAATTTATCCTAAATGTTTTTTTAATTCATTTATGAGTACTTGAAAAAGAAAGAAATGTATGTAACCAAAAAAAAAAAAAAAAAAAAAAATCCTCTTGTGGTTAGCAAAGTACACTCACACACGCACGACTTTGCTACTCTGCTTCTTCTTGATTCTATACGATCAAGAAAAAAAGAAACATTCCCTTGCCTTTTTTATTTTTTGAACAACAATTCCTTCCCTGTATAAACTCAGACCCTCTCCCTAATTCTCTTCATCTTACTCACGTCAATCTTCTTCTTCTCTTCTTCTCTCTCTGTAAAAACCACCAATCCCCCAACTCTTTGCTACCAGTATTCTCTCTCTCAAAAACAAGAATCCCCCAACTCTGATATATATATATATATATATAATGGACCTGACCAAATATACATATACATTTGCTACCAGTATTCTCGACGAAGTCTGTCGTTCCATGGACGCCGGGAGCGAGAAACAGAGCCGTACTGTCATCGACAAATACGAAGACTTCGCGAGCATCCGCCGAGCATGTTTCCTCGAGCACGAGACTGCTTGTTTCACCACAACGAAGCCAAAGACAGTGAAGACGACTAGTGTTTCGGAGAAGGAGAAACAGCCAGTGAAGACGACTGGGGGCAAGCTCGCCAGCTTTTTAAACTCTGTGTTCAGGAATGGAAATTCGAAGAAGATGAAGAAGAACTCAAGCTTATCATCAACTGGAGGTTACGGGGATGCACGTGTGGAGAGAAAAGCAAAGTCTACTCAAACATCTATGCATTCATGGGCATCTTCATATTTCTGTATAAAACCTCAATGAATTCGAAATGTAAACTGTTTTTCTTTTCATATTTCCTTCCCTCTGTTTTTTTTATTATCTGTTTTATATTTTTGAATTTGTACATTTTCATGTCTAAAGATGTCTCGATAAATGCGAATATGTTTTGATGAATCATTAACTAAGGAAGTGCACCACTGCAAATTGTAGCTAATGGAGAGATTAAATGTCCGAATATTTTCATCCCATCAAGTAACAGAATAGGTCATTTCTGTAATGAGAGAAGTCTTATGTTTTTTTTTTTTTTACTTTAGTACATCTGCCAAATAAAAGGGATCAATGTTTGGATGCTTTAGCTGGCTGAGAACTTTAATTTCCTGCATAATTGGGAAGGCATTAGAGCAATCACTTTTTCCCCCTCATAAGTATCCACAACAACAGCAAATTAACAAATAAATACACATAAGAATAACTCGGTGCAGAATGGATGCAAATTAATCAACACGAAATCCGTTCTTGTCACTCATTGCGGACATGATGCTGCTTCACAAATTTCAGGTGATAATTATAAGAATGAATTTGTATTGAATGTCAACATCATGTACTTCTGACACAATTATTTCTACAATAAGAGTAGATGTAATTTATCAATTCTAGTCTAGAACTCTCGAGAGTCAACCACTTCATAAAACGTATGTGGTATTTATTTGAAGACACTGTTTTGTTTGTTTGTTTGTTTTTTTTTTGTGTGACAATTTCCTTCAAAATCTAAACACAAATTTAGTTTCTAATCACCTTTAACCATTGCAACTCTCTCTGCTTTGGAATGGAAAATATGATATTGGTGATTCCCTCTTAAATTTCAAGGATTTATTTCGAATTTTGATTAATTGATTGGAGAGAAACAAACTAACTGGAATTGGAGACTTGTGTAGTTCATTGACTGAATCCGAACAAATTCCATCATAAAGAAACATTAAACTGTTTCCAAGGCTTTGATGTAGATTTTCCATGCAGATTGACAATGTTCTTATTAGCTAATTCTCTGACAATGTGTTTATCTCTTATTTTTTAGTTTCACTGCTCTCTGTATTTAGTTTCATGACAGAGTGATTATTAGGTCTGATGTTCTATATCCTTCATGAAAATTGTTGATTACTAGCAATAGTAGCTGCTTTTACCTGTTTTTTGCTTCCCAGACAAATGAATTTTAATTGGATGAAAAGGGATTCTACATTGACCCTAGAGGATACAAGAAGATTAGCCATGTCAGGCTCCTATTCGTTTGTTATTCAAATCAAATGTCCTTGCCCTCTTGAAAAAACAGATAGCATTAGTTTTATTCTAATCATCCGAAGTTTCAATGCAAGAGGATTATCCTTAAAAAGTTTTTTTTCTTTTCTCTTTCTTCAAAGCTTCCATAAAACAGTAACAGGCACTATCTTCATACCCTTTGGGGCAGAATGCTTTGATACGTGAAACCAACAACAAACCGTAGCAAATTGAAAAACCTTATCCATCATAAACCAGGGTTGCAAAATACTTCCCTGCTAATTGCTATGGATGGGAGATGGTTCGTTCCTGTTGTAATGAGATCCCACAGCCTGGAACTCTAGGCTATTTAGATGCAGGTATCTTCCTGTTGGCTTCATGATTTTATAGTTCTTTCTGTCAGCATATGATCTGAACTTGCATTTATAGATTTTATTGATTAATCCACTATTTGTTGCTGTCGGTACTTTTTTAGTGTACAACATAACGTCTTCCCTTTTACATTGCTCTGTGCTATTGTTGTCATGTTTGGCAAAACAACTTGATGTCAGCCGGTGCTTCCTCCAATGTTTTGCAGCTCAAGCGTCTAAGGGAAACTTTGTCTGCAGCTCTCATTTTCCAGGTCTGTTGTTTAATTCAGAGACTATGTATATGAGCTTCTATGCAAATTCTTAAGGCACTCTATATTCCTTTGCTGTATTTTTGATCACTTGGCAGGGCCCCTTATGGTGGTGCTCTCTTTTATGTAGGATCTATCATTTTTTGATAAAGAAGCAGTTGGTGATTTGACTAGCAGGCTTGGAACAGATCGTCAAAGATTGTCTCATGTTATTGAAAATGATATACATTTGATATTACGCAGTTCTCTTTGGGTTGCTACTCTTATTGTAACTCTTTCTTTTCCTAGACTGCCATTCACTTTCAAGCTTGGCTCTTACTTGAAGTTGAACTATTACTTTCAGGGCATAGGTGCATTGATCAATTTACTGACTTTATCTTGGCCTCTTGCATTTTCAACCTTGGTGATATGTTCTGTCCTGTCCACAATCTTCCTATTTTATGGCCAGTAAGCATTTTTATCTTTGCCCACATTGATACACATTAGATTGGTCTTCCCAATCTTCACTTCATATTAGTGTGGTACACACATGATCACAGAAACCAATCATTTATAGTGTGCAAATGGTTTGCCCTGTTTGCAACTTAATTTGCTTGTTTTTTTTGTTAAGTTGCTCTATTTTTATTTAGCATTCACTTTAAGTTGCACTTTCGTTAAGTTGACCTTTTTTTTTTTTTTGAAAAGTAAGAATCAAAATCTTATGTAGTCCTCATCATGCCGAAATGTTTGGGTGCTCTAGACATCCACTGTGTGTAAAGGCGGATATATATTTAGCTTATTTAATAACTTTCAATACAAATTCTGGCTAAACCACGGCTAGGGTCATTCTTCTGTATATTGCACCAAAGAATATAGGTCCTTTCTTCTTGTTCAGATTGGATTGCTTCGTTAAATGAAGTAGGTAGCTTCCTTGTTATACTTGAAGTAAGTTGTATCATTTTGCTTTTCATGCCTTTCACTTACCAAGTTTTCTTCCAATTTTTGATATTTCTATAAAGAGTAAGGGCACAAAGTGAAATACATATATCACAATGTCAAAGTTCTTTGTAAATCAAATCCAATGGTGAAATGAAAGACTTAACTGGTGTGACTGCCAGTTGAAGGGATACTAACAGTGGCCAAAAATCATAATGATCATGAACATGCATGCTTATAAATGAAGGGTTTTGTTAGCGTGTGCCATTAAGGCACATGTTAAGAATGCTTGAAAGGATTGTACATTCTTTCTTACTCGCACTTTCATGCAGAATGTATAATCATTTTAAGCTTCTTAACGGCACACACTAACAATTGCTTTAAAATATTTGACTATCTATTCATAAGGGTGCCTTTAACAGTTTATGGTTTTTGGAAAGTGTTACTGAAACCTTTTGTTATCTGATAGGTTCCAAAAGAAAGCAGCTAAATTTACCCAAGAGTACAGTGCTTCTGCAAACGAGGTAATAGCAGAAATTTGATCTATATTGTTTCCTAAAATTCTATATTTTTTTAAAGTTTTTTTTTATTTTTTTTATTTTCAAGTGTTAGGATGATAGTCCTTTTTTGTTTTTTTCCCTCTTAAACTTTAGGCTGCTCAAGAGACTTTTTCTTTAATAAGAACTGTTCGAGTTTATGGAACAGAAGAAGAAGGACTTGGAAGGTAATAATTCTAACTGGAATTCTTCCGCTAAGTTTACAATGACACCCAAATCTCATATGAATGTATATTAATGAACAATCATAGGAGACTTACAGGACATATCCTATATTATATTGTAGGTACAAGCAATGGCTGGACAAGTTAGTTTATATAGGCATTCGAGAAAGTGTTGCTTATGGATCTTGGTATCTGAGTTTCAACACTCTGTATCGTTCAACACAGGTTTGGCTCTTCTCAACAATTTTAAGGCTGAACTAAATCATAAGTAAATCACTTACTTGATCAGATGCTGCAAATTGTATACTGTAGTTCATGTGAAATGTAACCTTATTGATTGTAGTTAACGTCCAATTTATTTCTCTAACTAAATTTGTAGTTTTTTGCTGTCCTGTTAGGAGGAATGTCAATTTTGACTGGTCATGTATCAGCTGAGCAACTTATGAAGTATGTATTGAATATCAATGCATTAAATGAAAGTACCCAAAACAAAGAGACCCTACACTAGCATTTTTGCTATGAAAAAAATGTATATCAATGCATTAAAGGTTGTACTCAATTAGAATTGCCAGTTCAGTAATCAATAATCAAACTATAAGTTCCATCGACCATTAGAAGGAAAATTTTATTAGGAAAAAGTGGATGAATCACCAATGAAAATCATATAAGAAACCAAGTTTAGGACTTGATAATTCTACGGCATTAAGAAAGTTGAGAAATACTTAAAAATAAGGATCCTAGTGTCATAGAGAATATAATGGTGCTCCTGTAAAAGTTACAAAGTTGGTATATAAAAAAATAATAATAATAATAATTAAAGTGCGGGCGGTTTTTGCGGTTTGCGGGTTTAAACCGCGACCCGCCCGCAACCCGCAAATTTGTCATATTTCAAACCGCATCCGCCCGCATTATGTTTGCGAAACCGCCCACTTATATGCGGGTTGGGCGGATTAGGCGGTTTGAGCGGTTCGGATAAACCGTTGCCCACCCCTAATATGAATGTATATTAATGAGCAATCATAGGAGGCTTACAGGACATATCCTATATTATATTGTAGGTACAAGCAATGGCTGGACAAGTTAGTTTATATAGGCATTCGAGAAAGTGTTGCTTATGGATCTTGGTATCTGAGTTTCAACACTCTGTATCGTTCAACACAGGTTTGGCTCTTCTCAACAATTTTAAGGCTGAACTAAATCATAAGTAAATCACTTACTTGATCAGATGCTGCAAATTGTATACTGTAGTTCATGTGAAATGTAACCTTATTGATTGTAGTTTAACGTCCACTTTATTTCTCTAACTAAATTTGCAGGTTTTTGCTGTCCTGTTAGGAGGAATGTCGATTCTGACTGGTCATGTATCAGCTGAGCAACTTATGAAGTATGTATTATACTGTGAGTGGTTAATTTATGCAGCCTGGAGGTTGGAAGACAAATTATCATCATTGCTTCAGGCTATTGGAGCAAGTGAAAAGGTTTTCCAGCTAATGGTTCCCATGCCCAGTGACCAATTCTTATCAAAAGGAAAGACCTTTTTCTAGTATTTCTTAAAATAGAGATTCACTAGAACAATATTTTGTAGTTGTGTAAAGATATGTACACTGTTTTTCTGAGGAACAAATAAATTTTTTACATGATTGTTGTCAACTGTGCATCTTTCTGTGCACGGGAATGAAGTTGCAGAGGCTTGTGGGGAAAATTGAATTTGTAAACGTATCCTTTTACTATCCTTCAAGGTCAATGGTACTTCTCATCCTTGAACTGTGTATTATGGAGGCTATGATGATATTCATTTTGTTTTCTCTAGGTGGTAAAAGTGCTTGACTATCTCAACTGTTCATATTGATAAATAGTTTCGAAGGTTGCTTTTCATAGAAGTATGTGATGTTTGTTATGTGGATTCTGTAGATAACCAGAGCAGCTCCAGTTAGAAACTTGCTCAATTTGCTTTCTTCTATTCATGAGTATACCTGTTTGATATTCTTCTTGATTAGTTTTGTAGGTTTTACATCCATTGCATTCAATGTAACACAGGAATGAAAACAACGTGTATCTTAGATTTCTGAGAAATACAATATTCTTTCAGATAAGGATTTACTAGCAATTAAACCTATACTAATTATACTACTTTGCATTAATTCGTTTAACACATCTCAGCTGTAATAACATGTTTTATTATTCAATCAACTTCTAATATTTAGAAAAAGTTTTTCCTGTTAATTTGTCTTTGTTGGGCTCCGCATGAATGTGCCTTGTCACATCAGCCAAACCTTTCCATTTGAAGAGATATTTTTATTGAGGTAACACATGGCTCTTAATATACTCAGGACCTTTATCATATGAACATGTCATGAAATAAATTTTGAAGACTTATAGCACCTTCATAGGATTTTCTTAATCACTCCCTTTAAGGTTCCTGTTCATATTAACTATTCCTTGTGTTTATTCTTTTTGATAGAAATAACTCATCCACTAGTCTCTGACATTTGAACAGGTACCTGTTCTAGAGCATGTAAACATTTCTGTACAGACTAATGAATTGGTGGCAATTGTAAGAAATGGCATTGCTTATTTACTGTTGTTTCATCCTGGAACAAAAAATTGAGTACAAACTGCATTTCCATTTCCTAATCTTGCCAAGGCCGTTCTCAGTGGTAGTGGGAAAAGCACATTAATGAATCTTTTGCTTCGTCTCTATGAGCCGTATTTTTTAGAGGCTTCTTCATGCTTTCAGAAATGACTGTAGAGTAAAAAGAACAGTCATTGTCACAGCACATAGGTAAGTTTTCTTGTGGCACTTGTTTTCCTACTTGATAGTGAGATTCAATATGTGATTTTGTGACACGCCTTTTGCAGGCTATCTACTATATAAGCCACTGACAATATCATGGTAATGGATGGTGGTCGAGTTGTTGAGGTAAGGTCTTTTCCTGTATTTCGATTAACTTCATCTACAGTTGGAAATGTAAAGTGTGTGCACCATATGAAGTTCTGGGCACTTCCCCATAGTAACAGAGAGAACTTTAAACAATGGTAAAGAATTGAACTCGTTATTTTACCAATCCAACTCAAATTCAATTACAACCCTCTCTTTAAGCAGCTGGCTACATGAACCCTCATTTATGTCGTTATAATCTATTTGAGACCAGATATAATATCAAAGATTGGGCAATATTGCCATTTCAAAGCATCAACTTTTATACATCAATATGTATGGTCTTGTATTATTAATAATGATTTTTCTTTAGAAGATACATAATGATGCTGCTTCATCATTCTTGGAACGGGAAAAAGAAAATATTCAGACCAACATTTATTTGAAAATTTGTTATCAAGAAGTGCTTTGTGGGACATCGGTGGTTGAAACTTGAATTAACTTTTCTGAATTCAGCATGGTGATTGGTGAGTCGATAGCAAAGCGCATATTACACAGGCCATCCAAAAATTGATCACCGAGTCACAAAATCTCAGAAGATGTATTACCATTCTTAATATGAATTTGAACTTGGAATGCCAATGGAATGGAAAATTTCCCAAGGAAAAAAGCAGTGCACACTAAAAGTAATTCAGCTCAGAAATAGATTTTCTTCATATCAACATATAGTTTTATTATGAATTATATTAAACAGAAATAATAAATTTTAATTTTTCAATTAAAATGAAAACAAGTACACCTTAATCATTTTAAGTCAAGGATGTCTAAAACCAAATTAATCGACCAGGTTTTGAATTTTGAGTTTTGTCTTTAGGTGAACTGAGGAAGCAATCGATCAAATTACAAAAAGTTTCAAGGAACCTTAAAACCATAGGATTGAATGTAATAGAAATTATCCTCAAGAACAAAATATAGCTTTTGGGGCAGAACAAAGCTCAAGAATCCACTTCACTGATCTCAACAATTAGACACTACATGTCTAATAGGATGAGAAACGAACATGAGCAAGCAATATACTTTATCTGTGTGTCATTACTCATTACCACATCGTAATTGAATGGATCAAAATTGGATACTACTTTGATGATAGCTTTACCGGGCTTTTTTGCCTGCACAACCCCATAGGTAGATACTGATACAATACCCATGTCTCTGTTGGACAGTCTTCACTGTATTTAAAATAATTAATTAATTATGTTTGTGTACTAAACGACAAACAGAATATAAAAAAAATATAGGAAAGGAGAAGAATGTTTGATTACAAAATCAAATTAGAAAAAGAATTAAATAAATAAAAACAGATTTTATTTTGTTACAAAAATAAAATTAAAATCTGATTTAAATAAATAATAAAAACAGAAAATAAATAAATAACTTACTTGATTAATATCTTGAATATTATTCTGATCAAGTCCAGTGTTTGACACTGTGTCCTTAAGACAGATTCGTCCTCTTCACGGTGCTTTCAGAATATGGACATCTATCTCTCAGGATGAAATGATCAACTACAAACAATAGCAGCACTACAAATTGTTTGCCTAACGAACACACTAATTGTTTATACTCTTTTTCACAAAAATTAAATGCAACAAAATGAAGAATAAATTTGCAGAGGTGAAGTACGAAATTTCTGAAATGTAAAACATCAAATGAGGGCTGTCCTATTTATAGATGTAGTGGTGGCTGTAGGTTTTGAATTAAACAAGTGCAAACCTATTTGAATAAGTATGAAACCTGTTTGATTTTGAATTTAAACAGATTTGAATCTGTTGGGTTCAAAATTCAAACAGAAAAAAATAGGAAGGGACTTGTTTGGGTGTACAGAAAAATCGGACCAGTTTATTTCCGGAATTAATTTGAATACTGGATTTTATTTTTCAAAAAATAAAATTAAATTCAAATGTTTTTGACCCAAAAAGATAAGTATTGGGCCGAACAAGCCCAACCCAACCTCACACCACGCACCCGCGCTCAAGCCCAAGCCCAGCCCGCCCACCCCGACCGGACAGACAGTGGCGGCGGCGCGCGCGTGTGTGTGGTGATTTTGGGTCTAGCCCATTTTGCCTATAACCTCTGTCTCTAAAACACTTGGGTACCCCTTGGGACACACCTTAAGTTCCAATCCCATGCGTTATAAACCCATTCAAAACTTCCCACTATATCAATGTGGGACAGGCCTTATTCAAACCTTTAAGGATTTTTCACCAAAACTCCATTTTCATGGAGCATACTTTGGCTTCAATTTCCCATTCACCTAGTAATGGTTTTGAGCAACCAAATATACCACGTGAATCACAACGCGGCATAGAACGCGTTACCACTTTGACCGCGAAAATTGACGCACGGGGCCCACCTAAAAAATAGACCAAACTTAGGAAAAAATTCTGGTTCTATCCAGAATTTTCTAACCATTTCCAACAATCCCCCACATGAATGGAATTTGATGACAACGGAAATGCAACAATATGCAGACTTTATCGAAAGAATATAAGTCAAAAATATCTTGCATCAGGATAGGTAGCTTTCGGCCTTGAACCTTCCCTAGTGATAACCTATCGGACTTACTAGCTAACCAATGCACGCAATGCCTTGAATTGTTCAGCCGTTTGTGTAAGCCAAGACAATAGATTTCACACAAAATATCTTCTAACATATCGTGGTTCTCATTGTTGTGTTCATTTTGGCCTTGAACGCTCCTGGTTTTCATGAGTGTTTCTAGGGAATTTAGCCTCTTCATTCTCATAGAACCGGCCCCAGTTCGACACTCATATAGGTGATTCTTATTGTGAGTATCTCTTTATACTCGTCTTGATTTATATTCCTAAATCAAGATATAAGTAATCATTAAAAGCAAAGCTTATCCTTATACCCCTGCATACAACATATGTTGCAGATATCACTCTCACCACAGGAATGCGTAAGGAATTTTAATCCTTTGGTGATTTCTGGCGAGCCACACATAACTTAGTTGTCCCTTTGAACTTAGTTCTTGGGATCTCCAGTCATATAAGTAGGGTTACCATTATAACAACTCTTATGTAATAGGCTTTAATCCCATCCCCTTCGAAGAACTATACACTAGCTCTTTTGTCAAACCTTTTGTTAACGGATCCGTAATATTCTCTTTAGGTTTTATATAATCTATTGAGATTATTCCATTTGACAACAATTGCCTAACGGTATTATGTCGACGACGAATATGTTGTGACTTACCATTATACATATGATTCTGTGCCCTGCCTATTGCAGATTGACTATCACAATGAATGCAAATAGCTGGCATAGGTTTTGGCCACATTGGAATGTCTTCTAAGAAGTGACGAAACCATTCTGCTTCTTCTCCTGCTTTGTCTAAAGCAATAAACTCGGATTCCATTGTGGATCGTGCGATGCAAGTTTCTTTCGTGGATTTCCAAGAAACAGCAGCGCCTCCCAGTGTAAAGACATATCCACTAGTAGATTTTGAATCTTTAGTATCTGATATCTAATTTGCATCACAATAACCTTCAAGCACTGCTGGATATCGAGTAAAGTTCAAACCATGATCACGGGAGAATCTTAGATATCTAAGAACCCGAATGATCGCTTTCCAATGGTCTTCTCCGGGATTACTAGTGTACCTACTCAATTTGCTGATAGCATAAGCTATGTCAAGATGAGTACAATTCATTTGGTACATTAAGCTTCCAATGATTTGGGAGTATTTTAACTGAGACACCGTATCACTTTTATTTTTTGATAAATAAAGATTGACATCTATAAGTGTTCTAGCTAAATTTATATCATCCTTGATAAATTTACCAAGAATTTTCTCAATATAATGTGATTGAGATAATGCACATCCGTCAGATATTTTAGTAATTTTCATTCCTAATATAACATCTGCGACCCCCATATCTTTTATATCAAATCTTTTGTTAAGCATTTGCTTAATTGATTTGATCATGTTTTGACTGCTTCCAATGATAAGCATGTCATCCACATAAAGACAAACTATGACATATCCTTGGTCAGTGTTTTTAATATAGACGCATTTGTCACATTGGTTTATCTTAAACCCATTAGTAAGCATTGCATGATCAAATTTTTCATGCCATTGCTTAGGTGCTTGTTTTAATCCATAAAGAGACTTTACAAGCCGACAAACTTTCTTTTCTTGCCCCGACACTACAAACCCTTCGGGTTGCTCCATATAGATCTCTTCATTTAGATCACTGTTTAAGAAAGCTGTCTTAACATCCATTTGATGTATTTCTAAATTAAACAACACTGCTATAGAAATAAGCATGCGAATGGATGTTATTCTTGTCACAGGGGAATATGTGTCAAAATTATAGCGATCCTGGTTCTTCCTTCTTTGATTGTTGTATCCGAATTTAGGTTCCGTGGAGTTGGTTGTTGTATATGTTGTGTTGTTATCCTTTAATTCCATAAATTTAAGTTTTAGGATGCATTGGGCGTGTTTCGAACAGGTTGGTTGAGCTTTAGTCCCATTTCTTGTTGTCTAGATTTTTGGTGGTCCGCTCGAGCGGGTCCATTTGCGCCCGAGCGGAGTTTACACATTTTCAGCATTTTGTGACTCTGTAAAACTACTGCAGATGTGTTTTTCACGCTTGAGCGGGTCGCGCTCGAGCGGGTGTTCAATGTCTGTAAAAGTACTAGACGAGTGTAATCTACGCTCGAGCGGGTTCCTCTTTGCGCTCGAGCGGGGGTGCGTTTTACAGTTGTGTTTTGACGCTCGAGCGGGTATTTTTGCGCTCGAACGGGTTTAGTTTTTTGTGTTTGACGCTCGAGCGTCCTATTCA